CGAATAATATAATGGGTAATATAATGTAAAGAAAGAACAGAAAGTGATCGTTGAATATGAGGACTAAAAGCTTGGTTAACCCGAATAATATAATGGGTAATATAATGTAAAGAAAGAACAGAAAGTGGTCGTTGTATATGAGGAGAACTAAAAGTTTGGTTAACTTCTCATACTGTGAAAGTTAAGGCTTTGAATTCTAGTCATACTATTAGAGATTGACCAATCTTTGATAATGCTTTTAGTCCAGTGATTTTATTTAGATGTTCTGAAGATTCACGTACAAAGAACTATATACATAAATATATAAACTTATTTGATGATACAAGTTCAATTCATAAATTTTGAGTTGGACGGGAATTAATGCCTGTAACGTAGTTTTCAAGAAAGTAACAAAATGGCGTATAAGTGTATATTTTATGACAGAAGCTACCTGATTCCATCCCTAATTTTGAACTACTGGGTCAAGAGGGAATGCATCCATCCAGCAGCACCCTGCAAGCCTCTGTCCAAGCTAAGGGACTGACTGTTACTGTTATAATGCACTGCTAGTTTAAAGTATGGGTAATATTTTTGTGGTATCGTGCAGATTCGACCTAACTCGTCAGTTCTAAGACAGGTTAAACAACACACCCTTGGTGCCGAAGTAACCACAATATTCCAACCATTATATTTTTCACTATGATATAGGTCCAGCTTATCTCTCTTCGGTTAATTTGTGTTCAGAGCTACTTATGTGGAGTGAAATTCTCCGAAACTAATATAACACAATAACACACGTTGATCAAAAACTAATATAACCCAATAACACACGTTCATCAAAGTGTAGATTGAACTGGACCTCCGTTGAACTTAGACTTCGAGATTAGACAGTATTCTGAATACTAAGTTTATTTATTATTAACCGCAATATTTCATAAATTATTAAATGTAAAAAGGATTTATCACTAAATTTCATAAGTAGTTTGACTAGTTTTGTTGTCTGTCTCTGAACATAGTGCTTCAACATAAGGAAAGCGGTGGCGGTGGTATTATTTTAAATCTTACTAAGTTAAACAGCAGGATATATCCGTATTTTCATGTATATTTTAAGTCTTACTGAGTTAAACAGCAGGATATACCTGAATTTACATGTATTATTTTAAGCCTTTCCAAGTTAAACAGTAGGATATATCTGTATTTTCATGTATTACTATTAACTTAAACAGCAGGATATATCTGTATTTATTCTAGTACAACATTAGTATGAGCATGCACGTGTTACAGTGTCAGACTAAAAAAATTGGGAAAGCAGATAGTTTAAAAAGACAAAAGGAAAATACCGACTCGTTAAACATTGTAAACGTTCAATTCTATCGCGTGTGCGTTTCTGCTGGAAGAATTCGTGCTACAGAAAATTTATTATTTTTATGACATTTGCATTTAACAAAAATATTTCTAACGTTATCAACAGCCGTTGGCAGTTAAACAATCGAAAATAGAATGAATGTTTTTGTTGTTGTGTGTGTGGCAAAGCTACTAAGGTTATCAGCCACCATACCTAATTTTGAACTAGCGACTGCAGGGAAGGCAACTGACAGGCAGCACCCACCGTCAACTCTTGGAGTACTCTGTTTTTAACGTCACATTATAACGCCCGCACTGCTGAAAGGGCGAGTATATTCGACGGCAGGCTTCGATCCCGCAACCAACTGAGTGCGAGACGATCATCCTAGAAACCTAGCTAAATAAAGTTATTGAAGTTCCCGAGTAAATTACCCCCCATTGCTGTCCCCTAATTTTACCCTACACAACATATTTAGTAGTTTAGTAATGGTGTGTTTATGAGAGTTGTTTTTACAACACGTTAAAATTATGTGAATGTATTGTGACACTAAAGTAAGAAAAATTATTGGTAAAATATTTTCAAGGTTATTTGTATATTTTTCCTTTTTTTCAATTATTAGAATAACATCGTGCAATAACCAAATTAATATTTAAAAGAAAAAAGATGAAATTAAATAGATCAGATTTATAAACGGTCCAAATATTTTAGATCCACGTCGTAACTACAATTACCAGTTAAAAATGTTAAGCCTAAATTAAGATAATTCAATAATACAAGAAATTAAGAGTTCTATATGGTATCTAAATATATGATTGCTTATCTTATTCTAATGGATTCTAGAGACTGAAATAATCCCCTTTTCGTTTAATAATCTATGTTTATCTTTGTAAATAAGTAATTATAATTCCAGGTTTAATTATATTCAAATGAATTAAGTAAGTATTCTTAATCACTCTGTATTTATTAGAACATTATAAGCATAAAAAATGCTAGGAGCCGATAGAACCTGAAACACAGTGACGTTTTATCTTCAAGCTAAACATTCTAAAATGTTATTAAATTGTGCAGTAAATCGTAGTTGTAAAATATTCATGCAAATTAAAAAAGTAAATTGGATAGTATCCACTCATTACTTAATTGGAGTTTATTGTGTACGCCACAGTTATACGTATGCACGTCTCTTTATAGATATTTTACATCTTATTATATAGTATAAGGCAGACATACTGACATTTGAATACTTCAGTTTAAGCACAGTATCGAACTGGCTAGGAATATGTAGGTGTGAACAAACAGCCACAATCTTCTGAAGCGTATTTAGTTACCTCAGCGTAAATGAAAAGATGAAGGATTTATCTGGACCAGAACGTGATTTTACAAACTGACACTTGCCTGGTTAGTACATTGTATCGAGAAACGTGACTATTGGGTCATTCAATGCGTTTGAAACATGATGGCTGTGCCACAGTGGCTAAATAGTGCTATTTAAACACTAAGTGTGTGATAAGATTATTGGTTTTATTGTTAACTTGCAAATAAATGTGGCAGCTCGTGAAATTAATATTTATTTGTGGTCTCAGGGGGTGTTCTTTAGCGTGCGCCCCCTCCCCTCCCACAACGACCTATGCTCTCGTTTATAGATTATTGGAGGGGACTTACGAATAGACGTTTAATATAATAGTGTGTGCATTTTTACCTTGTGTGGTCTTTTCTTAGAAACAATATTTTCCTATACAGCTGTATTACGATTTTATACATCAGTAAAACTTTAAAAAAGGTATGAAAAATATTATTAACTCATCTGGTAGGGTGGGGTCAGAATGTCCCACGTCGGTTTTTCAAAGTCGATATTCCAACTCAGCTGGTGCTGCCCTCTATCTGTTATTTTCTGTACTATATATTCAATCAGGTCTTGAGTGTTGAGTGGAACGAAAGTGCTTACTGTTGTAATTCTTTGTTGTTGTGGGTCATTATGACCCTACGAGTTTACGAATAAACTTAGTTCCAATATTATAAAAAGTTCATTACTATTACACAGTGTAAATATTTAAACTGCATCCAACTGTAATGGAGTATACTGTGATTTTAATATTTGCTGCGAAATATACTGTAAATCGTATTATCTTATAGTAGTCGTACTTGTGATAAGGTTGTGGTGATCTTATTATTAATTAATTACTATTTTGGTTATTGTACGTGGTAATAACTAATTACTCTAATACTACATTTTGGCTGTTAATCCGCTGCTGTCTTCAGGGAAGATCTGTATTTGTGGTAGTAGTGGCCAGGATTCGATCCTGGATCTTCTTGATAGAAAGGCTGGTGCGTTATTTACTCGTCAACTATTTGAATACTTTCGTGAGGCGGTACACAACTTTTGCTGACTTCTATGCTGGGTTGACAGATTGTGTTAATGGTTTAAAGGATGTAGAAAGCCTAAGAATATCTGTTTCTCCAATGTATCGGAGTCCACATTTACAGGAAATGTTGTCCCCCCCCCCCTCTCTCATTAAGTCTTTACCTGTTTTGATGTGTGTAGTAACTGTGGTCGTATTGTGCTGTGGCTTTTGAAAATGTTTTATGTTGTTTACATGTACTATGTGTGTTTCATAGAGACATCTCATGGGGACGATGAATGTTATTTTCTTCCCGTGTATTCCTGGTGGTTATTTTCTTTATCAATTGCTCAGAGTATCCATTGTTAAGAAGAATTATGGTGCTGCGTTTTCTTAACTAATTCGGTATTACAAAATTTGTTTATTCGGGAAACTAAAACCAGTACTTAACACCCGTCTTTATGTTGGAAAGGTCTGATTTATGGTCAGTATATTTACCAATATCTGTAAGTTTCATTACATGACGAGTCTGCGGTAAGTTTACGGACGTATGGCGCTAAAATCCGGGGTTTGGTTTCCCGCAGTAGACAGATAGTCTATTGTTTGGTTGTGCACCGAAACTGTGAGTCTTCGTAACCATAAAGTATAGGAGTTGGAGTTCGTTTTCTTTACTTCCATTCTGAGTGTATCGTCGGATGTTCAAGTGGTGCATGTAATCTGAAATACACACTACAGACAAGAAAACAGACGTCTGCTACATGATCCACTTAACCGATAACTCGCTCAACCAAGCCAGCAATATTTAGATACCCTTTTTGAAAGTAATGAAAAAATAATTGAATGAAATCTGAATGACCTTGGACAACGTGGGTAGCATCCAGGATCGATTCCCCCCTCTTCCCCCCCCCCCCCCCCGGCTGCTACCAACACAAACACAGTCTTTCTCAATACTTTCCTGAAGACGGCGGCCGGGACGTACGATTGAAATTTTTAGCAATTAGTATAGGGTAATAAATTGAAATTAATAATTGGAGGCTAGGATGATAGTATAGGCTAACCCAATGACACCGATTAAAAGAAAGAAGAAGGCCTCAATATAAAAGCCGATACGCCATCTCCTTTTCTTTCAGATAAAGTTGTAGTTCATTACAGTTTTTAAACCTATTTTGTCTACTCTTCCTAAAATTTCACTGAAACAATGACCAAAAGTTGTAACTTATAACAACTATTAGTAACTTAATTTTACTTTTAGTTGGTGTGTTATGTTTTTTTACTTATGTAGGTTTGATAATGCATTTAAACTTCGTGTTTACGTTTTATTCTTTCTTTTTTTTTCACAGACAAACAATAAAAGAGTTTATTGACCTCCTAAATCAAGACAGGTCTCCTTTGTGCAATACTAGGCCTCAAATAATCTTGGATCCCAACGTCCAACGCCACCTGACGCATTTTTCGCTCATTACTCACGGGTTCGGCAGTCCCGCGGTGGTAGCCGCTCTCACAGCAGTTCAAAACTTCCTCTCCGAATCTCTAAAATACATAGAGAAACAAATGAACAACTATCAAACGTCAACTGTACCTCGTTTAACCTCTGCTGGTAATGGAATAGAAACCAAAAAAGAAGAGAAGAAATAAAGATGACCGGGTCTTGGAGGATATCGGAGCTTCCAAATGCTCAAAAAAATATATTATAAAAAATATTGCCTAGTTGTTACAATGTCAATATCATTCATACAGTTTATCAGAACAGAAATTGTAAAACACAGACGTATATATATGATTGGTGGAAAACAAAAGGGAGGAGGGGGAACGGGAAGACCAAATTGTGTCACTACAATCGTGAGTGCTGAATTTGTAAAGTGTGCACGATGCCACCCAAATTTACGTTCCTAAACACTGAAGATGTAATATCATAAATTTTCAACAACAGTATTGCCATATCATCCTTCATCCTAGCGTATTAGTTGCTACACGCACTCGAATCTTGATTTTCCATGATGTTAACAAAAGTTCACATTAGTTGTTCCGATGGTGAAATGAGTGACACGAAGAGAAAGAATTTTTGTTTGAAGTTGTCTTTATATAATCATTACATGTCCGATGGTTTGCGCGTTCTAAGGATTCGTTGAAATGCAAAAACGCCTCGTGAACAACAGACAATCTTGGTGATTCTGAGGCTCAGCCGAACTTCACATGGTTGTGTTAATATGATCCTTTAAAAGCCAAACTAAAATACACATACATCATTTATATGTATATAATTAACAGACGTTTTCGACTAGAAAATTTTCATATCAGATATGTTATGAAAAAACAACATGTACATTTTTTTTCTTGTTTGAGCAACTTAATTTTGCCAAAAGTAAACACGAAAAGATAAAAATGTGCCACGAAATGATTTTAAATAGTGTAATAAGAGCAACTGAACAATTAAGAAATTAATTATCCTGTTCTTTGTAGGCTTGGAAAACAATGATGAACATAAGTTTTAAATATTTTTTCTAAGTGTTTTTGTTTTCTGTAACCATAAATTTTAATCAAGACTTGTCTGAGTATCTTACCATCGAATGGACCTGATGTTTTCATTCATGTTGAATCCATTCTACATAAATTGAGTTGTAGTTTTTCTTGGAAATATAGAAAGTGAGTATCGGCAAATTTCAAGGAATTAATTTAATTTTTTTATATATTTTTATAATAGTATATAAACAAAAACGTTTGCTACATCAAACCGAAACCTGGTGATGTTTACTTGAATGTTGGTAAACGCTAGAATTTTTCTTCTGTTAACGAATCTTAAAAACATATTTTTTTTTTTTACATGCACATAGTGTATTTTCACCTCAGGTTTATGGTAGATGTCGTACATGTTATGTTGTCCATTTGTTTGTTTGTGATATTAACATGATCTTTAAATTACTTATGTCATTAAGGTGACGTCAGTTATTCGTTGAGCGGTTGAGGGTATAAAAATTTAATCAAGGCATAACTACAGAAAAATGTTTATCTCTTCACCCAGAAAGGTCAGTGAAAACGTTAAGATCAATTTTAAACATCAGTTGCGAAACACTATAGTAGAGCATTTATGGCAGATAGGCTATGAAAACAATCTTGTTTCAAAATAACTGTCGTTAAATCGTATAAATAGTTCTATTTAAAAAAAAACCTTCCATACAGTCCTTATGATAAATAAAGTCACACAACATATATATAAAAATAATCAGTTACGATACAGTCAGATAACGATAAAGGTTGATAAGTTGAAGCACTATCAGAATTACAGATAAACCATAATCACGCCAGTTCTATTATAGAAAACTGCCCACAAGCCAGTATGTTGTATACATACAATGTTATGTTCAAAAATGTCGTACATTAGCCAGTATTATTAAGAACTTCTGATCAAAAGTAAGCTAACTATCAAATAAACGTTCCATTGAAAGAAAATAGAAGAAAAAAATGATGTGGGAACACAAAAACAAATCAATTAAAAATTGGTGAACTTGTTAGGAAAAACAAAACTCTTTCGTTTTATAAACTGTCGTACACCTAAATCAAATAAAATAATTAGGATCATCATGGCTATATTGTAAGAAATAAGATAATGGCAGACGAACATAATCATTACAAATAATGTAAAAGTAAAATGACGTGGCTAATTAAACTGTTATTAAGTTTAACACAGAGCCATATCTTTATTACCCGCTTAGTGTGTCAGTATCATCAGCCATTTTGAAAGATACAAAACTTGCGAATCTGTTGTGAGAAAACAATATTTTACTCGATGACGGAGAACGTTTGAGAAAAAGTTCCCATTCTACACTCAAGTCTAAATGTATCATATTAATGTGTTTCCTTACAAGCTCTAGTCCCTTAAATCACTAGGTCAGTGTTTTAGTTTGAGCAAATTCTTCCATGGTTTTACAGGACATTTTAGAATATCATACTGCGCACGTCTTGACCTTAAACTTAATCATATCCGAAACTAGCGTTATGAAATGTCATTATGTGGTATTTTAACAGGCCCTCACGAGCCAGTGGGGACATTTTTGTTGAAAAACCGGATTGGGTAGTTTTTTTTAAGTTTAACTGAAATTTTTTGGACATTTTTATTGGCTAAAAAGAAGGCATTTCCCCCACATTTTTAGCGTTGGGGCTCCTAAAAGTGATTTGAAGTCATAATGTGACTGAAATCCGTCAGCGCATCAGGAACTTAACGCCCAAGCACAATAAACATGGAAGTCTCCAAACGACACGCAGAGGTATTCAGGAACCTTTTAGAAACTCCTTGGTAGATATTGTGCAGCAAGCCGAGTACAATATTATGCCTGTAAGCTGCTTTCAAAGTGTTCCTGTCTGCTCATCCTACTGCTGACTATCATGATGCTTCGACCTTCCCTATCGAATCGCAGGTGAAATCGTTCGTTCCTCAATTGAAAGCTAAACATGAAAAGATGATAGCAGAAGCATAAAAGGTTGGCACTTGCTTAATTAATGATGCTAAGAATGTGGCTTTATTGATGTATACTGAATTTACTCCCAGCGTGTAGACCTTACTACTAGCTAGTATGTAAACTTGAGGATGCTGTATTTCACTTAAATATTTATCAATTAATAAAGGAAAACTTGTTTCGAAAAGATAATTCCAAAATCACCCTCTCTGAACTTACTTTTAATATTCAACAAATTGCAGTGTAAAGACACCCCTTGGCTCCTGAGGGACGTATTGATTTGTGCACCTTCGGTATGTAAGATTTAAAGCTGGAAACGATCACGTTACCTGGCGATTAGATTAAGGAGTTAACTAAATAGCAATTAGTAGTAAATTACTTTTTGATAAGTCAAACTGCCACAGCTGCAAGGTAAAATCCCTGAAACAGGTGTTAAGTATCATTATACAGTATTTAAAAGAATCTTCCAATCATAGTAATCACGTAAAACAATAAACTTCAACGTGTGTCTGTTGTGCGAGTCGTGGACATGCAACGTGTGTTTTCATTCATAAGTCTTGTACACAGCCTATTCAGTTGTTGTATTTTACTGAGTGAAGTACACATCTTAGTTACTGATTAAGGTTTGCGATTCAGTTTTAACAGTTGTTTCCTGACAAAATAAATTCAATAATAAAGTTGGCTTACTTCAACTAATCAATGTATTTTATTTAACTAACACAACTTGTAGTATTCACTCATTAATAAACTTTCAGATCTCTATATCTCTTTTTTGTAGATATCATATCCTTTTATACATCAAAACATCTCAGTCAATAACGTATCATCTTATTAGCCCAAACTTTCACAAGTAAAGAAAAAAGGAAGTAAATGTAGACACACAATGTAATAGAATGTTAACAGACAAAAATAGGATAAATTAAACTCAATTTTGATTCAATAATTATATATATTACTATATGTTAATTCTTGCCTGTGCTATTATGTGGGGATG